TCATTTGGTAGCTGGGAAAAATAAAAGCAGTCTTTGAGACACACAGATCTAAATCCTGTTCTTGTAGCCTAGATGATTAAGTTTGACTCTATTTTATCTGGCTCTTAAAGGAAATCAAATGTGTCCTCACAGAGAAAGCTGAGCATTAGTTGTTTCCAATTATCCAAAGCGTAGGGTTGATCTTATGCTTAGCTGTAGTTATTCCCTGCAAGGGCTTGCTCCTAATTTGAAAGGGCTGCCCCTTTTTGACCCTTCACCTTAGAAAATATGTCTACCCCAGGAGAGTTCAAATGTATAAATATATACATATGTAATTGTTTTAAGGGACAAAATGTAATAGGTTCATCATATTTAAGGACTTTTCTATTCTTAATTTTCAAGTAACTTTCTCAAGTTCCATCTACTAGATGTTCTGTGGCAAAAGAAAACAGGAAGAAGAAAAATAATTTAATTAAAAGATATACCAATAAACAAACAATACATTGACTTGAGCGACTCACATTTGTATTGTGAAATCTGTGTTGGTTTTGTTCAGAAGGACAACTTTAAAATAAGGTATGGGACAGGTAGAGCCATCCTCCCAGGAGACATGTAAGCATCCCGATGACAAAGTGAAAAGCAAATCATGTATAGGAAAGAACAATGAACATGTACATTTCTGATTCTCCTTGTCACTCCAGCCATTACAACCTCCACCACCACCCAGCTGCGCTGGAGTCGATTCTGACTCATGACCATCCCATATGTTTCAGAAGAGAACTCTGCTCTTTTGAACATTCAGTGGCTTGCCAGGGATTTATTTATTATTTATTTTTTTGTCTAGCAGCTCTGGGTGATGGTTGAAATGGTCAACCATTTAGTTTGTAGTTCAGTGCACATCCATTGGTGCCACCTAAGACTCTCCACTGATAAAAATCTGTAAACTAACAAAATGCCATCTATATTACATGGTATAATCAGAAGGAAGCTCATAAAACCTTGTTTACTCCACTTCCCATATTTGATTTAGACTGAAAAGTGTGCGGACCTGTGGGTCAAAAGAACTGGAGTCATGACCTTTAGCTACGGGCCTTGGTACTTCCATCGGTAAAATGGGTGAGCGACCCTGCTTATCTCACTGTATTGCCCAAAGAGAGGATGGTGAGGAATTTTTCTTTACAGCCAGTTCAGTTTTAGATGTTTACAACTTGCCTAAGAGTCACGGGAGGAGCCAAGGTTTCTGGATTCAGTTTTACTGAATCAGAATGCAGGTAAATGTTTGAGTAACTCAGCGTTTTTAAAGAAGTTTAGCTAAGAATCACATAAAATACTTTTCAATTAGCCGTATTGTCTGGGAAGCTCTGTAGCTTGGCAAAAACAAAACCAAAGCCTACTGCCAGCAAGTGGATGCCAATTCATAGTGACCCTCCTGGGCAGAGAACTGCCCCTCTGGGTGTCTGAGGCATAACTGTTTACTGGAATAGAAAGCATCGATCTCCCAAGGAGTGCTAGTGATTTCAAACTGCTGACCTTGTGGATCACAGCCCTCTGGTAAAAAACGGTGCCACTAGGGTCCCTTAGCTTGGCAAGAGTAATCTAAGTAATGGGTGCATCCTGTTGTGAACTAGTGAACATTGTCCGATATGAGTATAGCTATATCCCTAACACTAGTTCACAAAAGTGGGGAAGGGCCAGAATACTGGTGCCAGCCACATCGTATTCTTCTGAAAAGGCACTCATACTTATTTATTAAACCAGGTCCCAACGTTTGAACCACTAACCCCAGCAATGACAATACTCAGATTGATGAATTATCCTGAAACATTTGTGGTCAGGTACTGTGGACTCAGTCCAACTTCAGGGACTTTGTGTAAAGTTGAAAAAAACAAAAAAACAAAACAACAGTGCCCAGCCTACACTGTCTTCACAATAATTCTTATATTTGAGTTCACGTACACAGACTCTGTGCCAATTCCTATTGTTGAAAGTCTTCTTCTTTTTGACTGACCCGCTACTTTCCCGTGTCTGATGTCCTTCGCCAGGAATTGGTCCCTCCCGATCTCACTGCCATCTATAGATTTCAACTCACTGAGTGACCCTATGGGGGCAGTATAGAACTGCCCCTCTGGGCAAATATTTCCAGGAGCAGAAAACCTCATCTTTCTCCCACACAGCAACTCGTGGCTTCAAACTGCTAATCCTGAGGTTAATAGTCCAACATGTAACCCACTACATTACCAGAGTCTGGGCCTTCTGGATTAAGTGTGTCCAAAGTTTGCGAAATGACGTCTGGCTGTCTTTGCTGCGAAGGGCCATTCTTACTGTTCTTCTAGGACAGATTTTTTTTCCTCATCCGGCAGTCTATATTTAAGATTCAATATTAAATCAGTGCCATTATTCAAACTTATCAACTATTCTGCAGCCTTCTTTATTCATTGGCCCGCTTTTGTATGCCTATGAAGTAACTGAAAATACCATTGCTTAGGTCAGCCCTCTCACACCCTCCCCCCAGGATGACACTTTGTTTGCAAAGTGTCATCCTTGTTTCTTACCATATGAGGCCCTTGAAAATGCCATGACTTGTGTCTGGTGAACCTTAGTCTGCAAATTGTTGAGATCCTTTAACTGGTGTGTAGCAAATCTTGGAAAACTCTGGCCAATAGGGAGTGTATGAGCCAAAACATTTATACATATTTATAAACATACACACACACTCTTTCTATATAAATTTATTAGGCTTTATGAGATTTGGTTAAAGGAACATTTCCTAATTCAGTTTTCTGTGATTTGAATAAAAAAACATATGTTCCCCAAAGCACTGGTTCTAAGCAAAATTGGTAAGCGGTACCCACACCACCTCTGCTCCCTCTCCCCTAAAAAAAGAGAAATGTTGGTTTAACAATCCTTAAATAGATTTCTCTAAAACATGATTTTTCAGAAGCTTTTAGTGAGTGTCAGTATCAAGGAATAAAGGATAATTACATATTGCTCAAAAACATTGAGACACAGAAATCTCTTTTCGTAGTGGAGTTAACATTCTAAAAACTCATGGCAGGGAATGTTAACTCAAAGACTAAATAAAACCTACATAAAAGAGACGAATCATCTTTGCAAAATGGCTGGTAAACCATTATTTACAGCGTTCTCCTGTAGAGGTGTTTTCTTGTCAAAACAGATACCTGTCATAGAGTGCCAGGTATAACCCAGTTGGTGAAATAAGCATTAGGTTCTCTATTTATTTAAAGAATTGACGGTCATTACATATCTGAATACTTATTGTCTACTTCAGGAAACAAGGACAATGATGAGAAGAGTTAACTAATTATTTGTTTCGGGGTTACCCGAATACAAATGGGGTGGTGAATTAATATCTATAATGAACTCAGCATTATCTATGACCAAGGAGCATGCAAGGTTTTTAACTTTACATAAAGAAGTGTTACGTCCATATCCTTTCATTCACTCATTGAATAATTATTTACTGAATACAGGGCCTTGAATGGGGTGAAGGGAGATTCAGAGACTTGGCCCTTGCCCCTAAGAAGAGAGCAGTGTAGACACTCTTCAAAGAGTGACAAGCTACAGGAGAACATGCACTCTACGATTCAGATATCTTCTCTAATAATCATCCAATATAAAGCTAAATTACTAATATTGCCAAGACCTCTCAATAAGTGTTCTTGGTGCCAATTACATGTTAATTTTTTGTTTGTATTGTTTTGTTTTTAATGTAGATGTGAATTGCACTCAATTATCTATGGTAGCAACACATGGGTTATAAACATTAGTTTGGAGTTTGTGTGATGTAGGGTTATTTCATTAAAGCTGTCTCTACTTGTGGCAAATAGATAACAGCAGAAAACTACTTAACTGAAATAGGAATGCATTTATTCCTTATTGGTAAGATTCTCCATCAAAATCAAGCCTCCAACAAAAATATCCAACAACCCTAACTAATGGACTAGTTTCCATTTTGATATTTCTTTTGATTCAAAATCATTATGTGTCATGGGTAGCAAACATACTAAGATAGGAAAGGTTAGGGTTTATATATTTACTTATTTATACACAGCCTTCATCATTAAACTCAACAGACTCAGACACTTTGCAATTTTTTTCCAGCAAAATCATTCCTCTAACCTTTATAGAATTAGAAGACTTGGGTTTCATAGTTTTATGATGTTGGTCAAGTTTAGAAGCTTAGAAACATAGTTGATTCTATAAGAAAATTTAATTCTCGGAGAGTATAGAGATCAAATCTCATGGATATGTAGATGAGAATATCAATTCTGAAGGACCATTTCTTCACTGGAAAAGCACATATTATCTCTAATCTGTGTTTTACTGTAGAGTACACCTTAGTGAAAAAGTTTGTGATTACTTTTTAAATTACTGCAATAACTGAGATTTAAGGGTTGAAGGCACTACACAGGAACTATTGAAAGGGACCGGGCAATGGGCTGGGGAAGGAAATACAGCTGATTTCAGTATTCCCAGTGATGAAATGCAAAATAATCACACTAAATCTCAGTATTGGTTACATATATACTTGCTGTATTATGCCTCAAATTGTATGTGTTTTAGTTACATAAGAATGCATTACCAACAACTAATCTGACGATTCATTCATTCAACAAATATTTGTTGAGAGCCTACTATGTGATCAGTGCTATGACGAAGAAGAAAAGAAAAGGAGAAAAAACAGACCTGCCCCCATGAGTTATGTTTTAGGCATGAGCGATGAAATGTTTTGAAATCTGACACAGTGTTTAAAGAATGAGGGCATGGGGGGAAATTAACCTGTATGGATAATGGGGAGGTGAGGGGCTCATAGTGTTAAATCTGGAAGTACACATTATTCTGTGTGGGTAGGAATGGTCTGATTTTGGGTCAATATAGAGTCTAAGTTCAATCATTCACTAGCCGTGGGCCACACAGCTAATTCAGTGCTCTGCAAAGATCTGCTTTCATGACTGTTATCAACTCCACGTTCACATGCTTTTTTCTTTGATTCTCTCTAGTACATGACTGCTGCCGCTCCTATGCAAGGGACCTACATTCCCCAGTACACGCCTGTGCCTCCGACAGCTGTCTCTATTGAAGTAAGTCCATCTCTGTGTGACAGGAAGGAGATGAAGCTCAGCCACATCGAATATGGTCCCCCTTGATCAGAGCAATCCTTGTGGGTGATTTTTGCACAGTTCGAACATTCAAAATTTCAAACTCAGCATATGAAAGTATACCTACTCTTCACGTATCAAGACTATCTCTATATCCAACATTTTTTTCCCAGTTAGGTCAATAGTTATAAATTTTTAAAAATCTGCTGGCCAGCTGTTTTGTGCCTGAATTCCATCTGGCAGTCATGAAAACTGAGGTCCCCAAGGCACGTCCCTGACCAGACTCCAGGTGCAGTACAGAGGACACTCACATTGCAGTGTTTCACGCCCACACGCTCCCTGAGGGGCTGGAGTGCTGGGTCCAGGGAAGGTGGGCGGCTGCAGTTGGTGGGGATGAGATGTTGCCTGGTACATCTGGAGTGCCCACAGGGGACTGAGGCCAGGCCAGTGGCAGCCTGGCAGACAGTCTCTTGCTGATGGATCACTCTCGGGGTTTGGGAAGGAGTGGAACCCCAGGATCCAGCCCTCACTCCTCTTCCTGAGGGACAGAGGGTTGGTTGGGGCCACGGTCCTAATGAGCCCTAAAAGAAAGCACTCCGGTGGAAGACTGTGTTAGCTGACTGACACTTGTACACTCCCTGTGCTTCCAGAGCTGACATGGGGGAGGGCAGGTCATGCCCCTTGGGTGGGACTGGGACCAGCCGGTGAGTGACCGGCTTGGATGATAGTTTCAGGTCAAAAGCAGAGGGCTGCCTTGGCCTCTGAGGAAGCTCTGGCTTGGGCAGAGCCGAATACTACCACTGGCAGATGCTTGAGGGGGTTGCAGAGGGGCTCCACAGGAAGTGTGTGCCTCCCCTGAGGCCCACAGGCCCTTCTACCCCACCCAGGGAGCTCTCTGCTCCTGACAAAGCATAGAAGGTATTTGTGGGGTCTTTGAGGACATAAGATGGGCCACCCATCCTAAAAACACTGCCCTAAGAAGAGCAGAGGAGCCCGGAGCTGGAGAGAGAGAAGAGCAGGGGACATCCTGGCTTTGGAAGGCTGGGCAGCCCTCTAGAGAGCCATCGGGGGTCAGAGAGCTCTAGCAGGAGGGGAGGTGGCAATGACAGGTGCTGGGCCTGAGAGGACATTCAGATACAGGTGAGGACATGAGGTGATATAGGCATCCTCCACCTATGTCTGCATCATGCTAAGTTTAGGAAACAACGTAGCCATTGGAACGTAGTCATTTTGATAAGTGAGGAATGGGTTTCTATTCATTTACTCGAATATGCCAATGTTTTGCTTTGCTTATGAAGTGAAGCCATCTCAATGGAGGTATAAAGAGAGGTCTGTCATGATCCCATCAAACGGTAACCACAAATACTCATAAATAGGGAAGGTATATAAAAGAAAGATTTCAGCTACTTGAAGGAGCTGGTTATCTAGGGCTTTTTGACTTAAAAAAAAAAAAAAAGGTCTCTGGAACATCATTTGCTTCATCAATTAGCTTGTTGAAGATCCCTGGGAGAGCAATGGTTTGTACTTGAGGATTAGCCTAAAAGCTGTCACTATGAATTTGCCTAACAGTGCCATGGCCTAAAGGCCTGGTGATCTACTCCATAAAGATTATGGCCCCAAATACCTTACAAATACCAACCGCCTTACAGAGCAGTTTCCCTCTGTAAGGTGTAAGCTCGCCACCGGGAGTCAGAATCATCTCAATGGCGATGGGTTTTTCTTTTTCTTTTCTTTTCGCTTGAAGAGCTTTGGGAGCTTGTTGGAAACGCAGACCCTCCAACATCACCCAGATTTGCTGAATGCGAATCTGCGTCTTAGCAAGATCACCTAGCTAACTAAGCTGGATTAAACATGAACAGATACTGGATTCCTGTGCTGATTTTCAATCTTTTCGGTGTACTATATTTTTATGGGGAACTTTAACAAATATTGAGGCCCGAGTGCCATCCCTAGTGATTCTGATTGATTACTCTGGGGTGTGACATGAGCATCAGGGTTTATATAGCCGCTCAGGATTCTAACAGGTACCAACAGAACTACTGGTCTAGTAGACAAACCTGGATGATCGTGTGGCTTCCTCCAGATACGAAAGAAAAAGTTCATTCAAACTCTTTTCTGTGGACACCAGGAATCATGAGACATACGGCCTGAATGGAAGCCGACCTCCTTCTCTTTCCATTGAGCTGTATCTATCCAGGCTGCCTCTCTTCTTTCTGGACGCAATCATCTAGCTCGATGGGTCGGGACAGAAAAAGTGCTATGCCAATGGTGGGAAACACGTGTGAATTCCTCCGTCTGATTCTTCTTGCTTGTCTCTTGATTCTCATGGGCCCTCATGGTCACACGTCCATGTTTTTACTCACCTGAAACCCCTCTAGATTTTGTGATGGATACTTTATGAGTTGGCCAGCTAGTATTTTGCACCACAACACAGAGCAGTCCACCGTGATTCTCCCAACCTCCGGAGCTTGCCCTGGGAAAAGGCAAGTCATCTCCCACACTGAAGGACCATCATGTTTACCTCTTCTTAGTTAAACCTAGACACGGTACCTTTACAGAGTCCGTGGAGTCCTATACTACACAGGTTAATTAATGAATTAAAATCTGCCACAGATTTGTATTTCTCTGTTTCCAACCAGGCTTATATATAAAATGTGAGCACTTTCTTGGCTACAAAATAATAAGGCACATTTGGTGGTATGGCTGACTGAAAGTAGTCTAATAGTAGTTAAATCTCACATAAAGGTTTGTTGCTGAAAGAAATGAAAGTACACATCGACAGATGTTTTGAACTTATCCTTCATAGGGAAAGCAGCTGCTTATTTTCTATGTGAATGTGTTCCCTGAAAATTCAGCAGGAGCCACACAAGTCAACTCAAATGGAAGGTTTAGAAAATATATAAAATAATAGGATAGAAAGATTGAATTCATAGAGTGAGGTTTTTCACATTCAAAAGGTAAGTCTATGGGAACATTTCTTTGCCTTTTTTTTATAATAGTGAATCCTTTCGATACTTGTTCTTTTATGATTAAATTATTTCACTCAGCATAATGTCCTCCAGTTCCATCTACATGATGAAATATTTCATGGATTCTCTGTTACTCTTTAATGTTGCATAATATTGTGCGTGTGCATTGTAATTTGTTTAAAGGAAATGTTTACACACAGAGGAAATAAAGTATTGTATGGGTACCAGGGACAGGCGGGAAGGAAGAAAGGTTACTCACTATATAATAATAAACACACATTAATTTTGTGAAATGAAAGGCAATATATAATAAGGGGTGATCAGCACAAAACTAAGAAGGGAAAGGAAGCACAATGAGGTGCATAAGAGTTTTAGGTAACAAAGGCAAATACTATGATATACACTGTTTTGTATTATTTGTTGTATAAAACATTAATCTGCAATTAGATACATGAGCAAATAAGCAGATTAACAGATACGTGTAGGTGCCAGGGACTATATTTATAATCATATGCAACTTTGGCACATAGTATTTCTACATACACATTTTATGCGCTATAAAAAATATCCAGGCCCAATTGTATAATAGAGAAAACAGGGCAGAGGTGTGTGTATTTCTTAGCTATAATGAAATACTTTGAAGGGCTGTATTTCTGGAAATGGGTCTTCGGATCGTGGTCTCAGAGGACATGGAATCTATTGGACATAATGTCCACAGAAACAATGGTCGGCATCCTACTTAGCTCAGAAGCAACTGGGGTTTTAAAAGTTTGTGAGCAGCCTTCTAAGGTGGTTTCTCCTAGTCTGGAGCAAAGATGAGTGGATAAAATCAAATAAACATACATGGAAATAATCCGTCAACAGGACCAGTCGCTCACAGGCGCCTTGGTCTTCATGACCCTGAGACCAGAAGACCTAAACGTGGACCCAACAACCCTGCTGATGGCACTGAAGGAAGGGATCATCATAGAGGATCCTGGAGAGAGGAGAAGAAAAATGCGAACAAAAAGCAAAAATCTCAAAAAAGATCAGGTTTAATGATCTAACAGAGAGTAGAGAAACACCCCAAACTATGGCCCTTACCACCCTTCAGCCTTAGGATTTTTCTTCTCTGTGGCTCATCTTTCAGGCAAACAATAGATGGACCTCCAGGGTAAATGACAACCCCAGAAGGGTACGTGCCCTTACAACAGTCACCCTAGGAGCTAAAAAGGGCAGCATGTGCTTCAGGCTAAATCTCAGATTGCAGGAAGACATAGGAAAGAAGAGCAAGTGGAAACGGTACACGGGAGAGGGGTGGGGGGTAAAGTATGAAGAGCGCTGTTGCTTTGTAGGGACTGCAAGCAATGGCACAAAACAAAATGTGTATTCACTGTCGATGGGAAACCAATTTTCTATGTAAATTTTCATCCAAATAAGGAAGGGTTTTATAAACACAAAAAATGAAATCATGAAATGAAATAAAGTGTATAGACAAAACTGTAAAAGATAATTCAGAAGATAGGTTTTTTCCAAGGATCTTTAGTTAGTGAATAAGAATTAACCAAGATCATTGGACATTCAACGTCACTGCAGGTATCTCTGCCTGTAAATAAAACCCAAAGGATGGGTTCAGATAGCAGCCCTCCTTCACGATGTCAGCCTTGAATCTATAACTGTTGAGTGGATCTTGGCTCATAGAGGACAGTGTAGGCCTGTCCCAGAGATTTTCCAAGGAACTTTATGAAAGCAAACTGCCATCTCCCACAGAGCAGCTGGTGGGTTTGAACTGGCAGCCTTTGGGTCAGCAGTCATTTGTTTAGCCATTATGTCACCCAGGCTCTTTTCCTTAAAATGACTGAATACAACCACCTGCTCCTCTTTCAGAACCAAACTTTTGCCCCTGGTGATGATCAGTTCTAGAAATGTTATCCTTGCTGACACAAAATAGAAAAGTTCAGGGCTAAAGCAATCCAAAATTAAGGATAAATTCTTTTCTTATTTTATGAATTCTCTAAATTAATTCTAACCATTGCTTTGCCAAAATGGGGGAGAAAAAAAGTAATGATGACTGTATAGCCCTACGCAAGGGAACAAATGTCAGAGTTTCAGGTGAATGGATACACAGTGTATGGTGTAAGCTATGGCAAAAACAACAACAATAATATATTCTGGGGGATGGTACGTTCGGGGTTGGAGGTAATAACGGGAAGCTGCTATCAAGAAGTTCAAAAAGAAAGAAAATGTATTGAAAATGATGATGGCAGCAATTGTACAATTATACTTGATCTAATAGAACTATGGATTGTAATAATATCTGAAAGCGCTCCTAATAAAATACTTAAAAAAGGAAAAAAAGACAAAAATATCAGATTATTGAGGAGAAAACCTGCATAAATGGTGTCCTTTAAAGAGAATTCCGAAGAATAATACAGATTTTTGTTAAGGTCAGGTGCCGTAGTTTTCGCCACTCACATAGACAGTGTACAGTGTATGACTCCAGGAGAGTATTGGTGTAGGAATCCTGCATGGTTTTTAAATTTTATAATTTGGCGTTCGATGTGACGGTGTCCAACCATGGTTCATAAGTCTGGCCCAAAGCGTTTTCTTCAGTGCTGCTTCTCCAAAGACGTGGTGAAGACACACTGCAATGAATGCCTCAGTCTTCATTGGAATCTGCTCTGCTATTTGAGCGCTTATTGGAGGATTTCTGTCGATGAAAGCAACAACGTTTTAGCTGAGAGCTAGTCTCCCCCAATTGATCTGGGAGAGAGCCGTTTGCTAAACCAGTTAAGTCTTGTATTCTGATTTACCTCCGTAGGGTGTCGTTGCTGATACCTCTCCCCAGACAGTGGCACCATCATCCCAGGACACCAGTGGTCAGCAGCAACAGATAGCAGTGGACACGTCCAACGAACATGCACCTGCATATTCTTACCAACAGTCTAAGTAAGTACGGCTATGCTAAGCTCTTTCCCTGACGGTCCGTCAACATGGTGTCATTCTCTCGTGTTGTATCTTCTGGCTTTTGATGTACAACAAATCACCCTCAGCCTACCGACAAGCCTTCACGTAGCTCAGGATTATGAGGGCAATCTTGGCTGACCTCCAGCAGACGGCTCTTCTGGACTTACTTAAGACAGTTGGGGACAATTAGTGGTCACCTATACAGCTAAACTCCTGGATGGTGTCTCCCTGTTTACTGGATTTTGAGAGTGATGGGCCACATGTGTCTTATCCTCCAGCAGGCATATTCACTGGTAGGCTCAATACACCCAAAATAGCATATGCACAGCCTGCCATATGTAGATACTTGCAAGACTCTGCTGGTGGTTCATTTGCACTAGGATTAGCTGGCCAAAGCAAATCACGTGGCCAAGCTAAGAGTCAATGTGGGGGGTGGGAGACTATCAAAAAAAAGGTGTGGTGGGGGTGGCACAAGAAGGACATTGCAGCCAATTTAACAACAACAAAACCTAGCAACTTATTTTGGGGAAAACTCCAATATTTCCAGTAAAAGTAAGTATGAGGCTGCGTTTTCAGTCTTGCTTTCTTCGATCTTAAATGTGCTCGGGATGTGACATCACCACCCTCACTGCCATTGCGTTGTGCCGACTCACAGTGACGCTATAGCCTGTGACTGGAAAAAACAATAACAATAACACATCAAATGCCATCAAAAGCAAATAAATTCATAGCTGGCCATCACTTCTGAATTTTCCTGAAAGGAAGGAAAGAAGCAACTCTATCCAAGTCTTGAGACATTTCCAGCAAGAGAAAGAGGCTTGTGTCAAGGCAAGAGATGCGATTGTTAGAGCTGTTCAAGGTAGACCCGAGGAACTGAGCTAAATGCTTGGGTCATGTGGACACCTGGGCTCTACTTCATAGACAACTGTCACCAGAAGAGTCTGAGGACATGAGGACTTGCAAGGAGGCCCGGAGTGGTGCAAACCATTAAGTACTCATGCTCTACTACAACCACGAGGTTTGTTGCTCCAAACCATCTAGAGTGCCTTGGAAGAAAAATCTGCCAATCTGCTTCTAAAAGGTTATAGTCTTGAAACCCCTATGAAGTACAGAACCCCTGAACACATGGGTTCACCATGAGTTGGCACCATCTAGACAGCAACTGGCTCTTATGGTACGGGCATCTAGAGACATTTTTTGTTAGAAGGGCCCCAAACAATGTATTGAGTTTGTTCTGTAAGCGGGATCCAGTCCCGACTCTTTTAAGTAATCTTACTGAGGCCTGACATAGGAAATTCAGTCATATAATTCAACCATTTCTACAGGTTATCCTTAAAGAGGCCTCAGGAAATCTTCTACCCCCGCCAAGCCTATTTTGAGTCAAACCTCAAACAATATAAATCCCTAAAGTTACAGGTTACAGATACCCCTACATTTTACATGTAGAGAAGAGACTGTCCCTATTTTAGCCAATCCTCCTGGAACACCCCAAATTTCACAAATGGCAGCTCATTTCCAACATCCATTAAGCTAATTATACTTGCACCAGATAACCCATCTCTGACAATCATTATGATAATTGAGATATGGATAACTTAAAGTACTTAAACAAACCTCTGGCCTTTCTCATTAAATGCTAGCTGACCTCCTGTGGGGTGTGAAATTCTGATTAGGGCAGTGAATGCCCCTGAAAAGGAGCTAAAGCCATCACAAGTATATTTAACACTCCCACGTCTATAGTAATTGCATTTGAAAGTGGACTACAAGAGTAGGTTATAGGGGAAAAATGTAACAGAGATAAATGGCATCCCTCTGACTAAAAGAATTATGTCTGGGACATATATCTGCAATATTTTAATATTTCCAATTCCATATTTGAAGATAAAACACTGGTTCTCACATTTTATATGCATACTCCTCCTCGCCATTGTTAAAAATGGGCTAGTGATGCAAATGAGACGGATCACTTATAAGCAGAAGGCAGACTGTATAGCAGTTTTATTTTGAGAATCCGATGGAAATGCTAATGTCTATCCAATTAATTTTATTTTTCCCTGGGTTATTTAGGAAACCTTAAGGTAAATAGAACTAAGTTCCCAAATTAAATTAAATTACATTATGCAGAATAATTATATTATTATTGGATAAAAAGCCCACCTTTGCCCCTTACTCATTGTCACTCCAACGTTCTGAACCTAATTTTCCTCTTCTGCAGAGTGAGAGGGTTAGACTAGAGTGCCCAACCAGGAGTACAAGTGTCCCGTTGACCCTGAGTTAAGCATTGGATTGCTCATGGCAAAGTCTGTGGTTCAAACCCACCAGCAGGAGAAAGATGAAGCTATCTCTTTCTGTAGATATTTACAAAGCTTGCACTGTAGAACATTGCTCCACATAACTTTGCTATGAGTCAGAGTCAAATTGATGGCAGTGGTTTGAGTTTTCAAAAGGATTTAAGAAGAGCCGTGGTGATACAGTGCTTAACTCTCTCAGCTGCTAATCATCAGGTTGGTGGTGCAAACCCACCAGCTGGTCTCCTGGAGAAGGATGAGGCTATCCGCTCCCACAAAGATTAATTTAGGCCTTGGAAACCCTAAGGAGCAGTTTTTTCTTATCCCAGAGGGCCAATCCGAGTTGGGATCAACCGGATAGGACTGGGGTTGGTTTGGAAGAAGCTCTGGTGATTCAGTGATTAAGCATTTGAGTGTTTAAAAAAAACAAAAAGAGGCTTGAACCCAAGAGCCACTTGTTAGCAGTGGGCTTGATTGTGTTTAAAGGGTATAAATTAGATCTCTGGTGCTGCAGGTAAATTTTCCTCCGTGTCCTGGAGTTGTGAGTTGTGAGTTGTTCTCTCACAGTGATCTGTGGGAGAAGCATTCCCTGAGTAAATGAACTTAGGAGCCACCGAATTAAACTCTGTAAAAGGCACTTGTTAATTGTAGTTCATTATCAAGCTATTAAGATACGAATGGATAAGACCTTCTAGAGGGAGAACACTTCCAATGCTTCACCTCTGAAGGATTAGGGTGTACACTGCCCTTCTCCCATGATATTATGTTTTTGTTGTTTTTACATATTAGTTCCTAAAAAAAGTCAATTAAATCCTGATTGTCTACATGAGAACTAATTTGATACTAATTTTTAAAATTACATTCATTAAAAAAAAATGTTTATTCGCAGCCTTCTTCCTGGGTAGGCTGTGCAGGTGTGGAGTTGGCTTGGCGTCGTAGCAGCCTGACTCAGGCTGCTCTTCGTGTTTCCCAGCAGAACTGTGCTCCCGGCCCTTCAGGAGTGTGCTCTTTCAGAAAGATCGCCGGCCTGTCTGCTAGGGGCTTCCAGAGCACTCATGGCTCCAGTCTTCCTGTTAGCTGCAAAGCACATTCCCATCTGTTCCACGCAGTGACTTTAAAGGGGAAAACAAACGCCTATAAACCCAACTCACTACCTTGGAATCCGTTCTGGCTCCTAGTGAGTCTCTAGGCCAAAGGCAAACTGCTCCGTACGGATTGGGAAGCAGTGGATTTTCAGAGGAACATACTACCCTGTCTTCCTTCTGTGGCAGTGCCGGCGGGCTCACAGCATCACCTTTTAGTTAGCAACCTGATGGTTAAACCATTTCCCCACTAGGGCTCCTCAGGGGGATTATAAAAGCCGAAACCAAACTCCCTCCGAAGAGGTCGGTTCTAACTCTTATTGAGCCCATAGGACAGAGCACATGTGCCCCGTGTGTTTCGCTGTGGTAGCAGCCCAAGGGGAACTCAGCTGGGCCACCAGAGCTCATTGTACCCTGGACTTTGCATCAGAAAAGACACTGGGAAATGGTATACCCTTAATTGAACTCCAAGGCTTCTTCACAAGACCCCCTCAAGGCCACACTATCCTCTTTCCCAATCAGTTCCCTCCACTTGAAGGGGAAAGGCTGATGGGAGAGTTTCAAGTGATTCTATGCTCATGAGCATCACCAAATATGGAATCTTCCAACATTCTTACCAGTGTGGAAGACTTTCATGTCAAACAAAAGGTGGCAGAGTATTTATTTTATTTTATTTTTTAATCTTCTCCAACTGCAGAAGTTCTGCAAAACCCGCCTCGAATGCCAACTTCTTTACCGTGTCAGTATATTCATGATGTGCAAGCTGGCTCCTTGATCACCACCCTTTTATGGCCTCAATCTTATGAGTTCTAATGCATTTTATTTGCATAGTGATTTACAGCTAGTAAATCGCTTCATGCACATGATCTTATTCATAACAATTTATTTATTTTTTTGCTGCCTCCCATTTTGTTTCCCAAGTTGTCTCACAATCCTACTGAAGACATTTTTGTTGCTAATGATTACAATTTGAAAATTTACAAGTCTTCTGTTTCACGGACATCAATGCAATCTGTAAGCGTATGTAAATGTGCACTTTTGCACTGCGTCTAGGACAGAAACGGTGGGCAGAGGAAATAAACTTCTATTATATAGCAACACACTTTTTCTTCAAACTGTTTGCCAGCTCAAGCTAGAAAACCTGAAGATATCGAGAGCAACCATTTATGTCTCCTCATTTGTTTTTAGGCCGCAATGAGGTCACATCGAAAGCTAAGCAAGTAACGGGAGATGCTATTGAAACATTTGTGTAAAGTTCTAACATCTGAAAATAGCTACAGCATAACTTATTAACGTGAATGATTCTTAAGGCAGTGCCTATAAAGTAACAGAGCAGTGAGGGTCTTCTGTGTCGGTTTAATCCATTGAGTAAGATGTCATTCATGGAGAGATTAGCATAGAGGTATATACTGTCTGCTATTAAAGGCATTTTCAGCTCAGTTAATATGGAAGATGAGGTGGGGGAAAGAATAGACCCAAAAGAAAGCGAAAAACAGCCAACAAGCAAACGAAAACCACCCAGTCTCCTCTCTCTCAGAGGAGGATAGACTTCTAGAAACGAATTGAGTAAATCTACAGTTTGCAAAGTTGTAGAAAGCCAGCTGCAATGTAGATCGTGGTTCAAATGGCTACGGTAATAAACTTCCCTTATTGTTGCTACTGTTATTAAAATTATAATTGTATTCCTTCTTTCAACAATATCTATTTTCGCTTGTAACATACAAAATAAAATGTATTTTTTCTAGAGAGGTATGAGTAAACTGTTGGCTAAAAAAATCACAGTATTCACTTTTATCCACTACTCATTTCCCTGGCAGGAGCCTCATAAAGAGTTGACCAGGTCATGTAGTAATTTTGTTGTTGTTGTTATTGTTACTGCTGTTGTAAATTAGGAAAGGATCCTCCTCTGGGCAAGTCCAAGATGTTACACAGTTCAAAGCATTAAGGGTGGTAAGAAGGCGTTTTACAAATTGGAATAAATTTCTTTGCTCGTGGTGGATGCAGCCCAGGACCAAAGAAGGAGCTTGGGGAGGAGACTGAGAACTAAAATCTACCTTTCACGCACTCCTTCAGCCCTAACTTTTATATAGTGGACAATAGCTATATCCACCAACTTTGAGGCATCAGAAAAAAAACATTGGGGTTTTTTGCCCTGTTGTCCTGTGCTATGAAAGAAGAGATGCTCATCTAAATGTAGCCTACAAACATAAATATCCTTGGTAACACACTTCTGTTTGTTGTTAGTAAAATCCTAATGTTTGGCCAAAGAGCGAAGAATAAAGGCAAACCATCATAGAGCTCGTCACTGCAAAATAGATCGGGCAGCTGAAGAAAACATGATCTGGGCTGGGCCAGGCAGAGAGCAAAAGTGGCATGTGTCTAGTTCAACTTAACTCACTATGTGCCCACCAGCCTTCAAGACTCCAGGAGCATTAAAAATAAAAGAAGAAAAAACATAGACTCTTATCTCAAGAATCTAAAATCTGGGTGGGGAGGGGTTAGGAAGGAAGAGAAGAACGGGGACAGGGAAGAAAGCAAAACTTCATTGACTTCTTACCACTTGTTGGCTCAATAGGCTTCTGTGAACACCTTGGTCAATATCACAGGACAGCATACATTCTTGGGTATAGAATGGGAACTCTGTAGGTGATGACCGAGTTAGTGATGCCCCAACCCCATGGGAGTTCTGAAGGTATAGAACAGCAGGAATAGTCTGAGGAAGTCAGCCCATCAAGCAGGCACTAAAAATGTTTACTTCTGTGCACATTGGAAGCATTGCATGTCCGGTTCAATTGGATTGTGGTACTGCTTTCGAATGGAAAGACATTCCTGACTTAATAACCTTGATTTCTAACATAACCAAGTTTTCTGACCCGAGTATATATTTTCTTGAATGTTGCCGAATTTTGGCATCCCCAGAAGGCCAATGTGTCTTATAACTTCCACGGGTCGAGCGTCCCACTGAAAGAGCTTGGAATCTTCCAGAGACCTCACTAGAAGCAGCACACTGAGGCTGATTGGAAAGCCGCGTTGATTTAATGGCTACTCGCATTCTTTTGTCTTCACAGACCCTAAAGTGGACTGAAGACGGTCCGCCTGACACTTTGCCTTGAATGAAGAAACTTCATTGAACAAGAAGTTGGCTTCCAGTTTGCACAGGCATCAACCGAATGCTTTTGGGTTTTAATTTTTATTTTTTTAATTTTCTACTTTATCCAATGAAAAACAAAGCATTTTTAATGTGCTGTGCAAATGGTTCCTTCATGTGGTCTGACAGTTGTTGTTTTTGCCATCTTTTTTTTTTAATAAAGAAAGAAATCCCAGAAGAGGAGGAAAACAAACGAGCCAAGCAACCCTACAAAGATAGAAAGTTGGCGTTTTATCTAGAGGAACATGTGAAGTCAGAATTACTGAAGGTGTAGATAGATTGTTTTTTTCTTTCTCCTTTAAAACCTAATGTCAACAGGTGGGAAGAATTTGTCTTCCTCAGCAATTAAGCTACTCTTTCTCTCTTTTCCTTGTTTAAATCTAGTAAGGTTTTCATTGTTGTTGTTGTTGTTTTATTTTTTGTCATTGTTTTTCTTTCAAAAGTTTAGGTAAGATTTATCTTGACTCTTAATTGCCTTAATTTTAAGGACGTCAAAGGCTCTCGAGGCAAGCTGTCAACGTCTTGGTAAAAAAAATCAAGGAAGAATTGAAATATTGTGCCAGTTTTAACTGGCACAGAAGTCTAAGACTATGAGTTTTTAGGGTGAAAAAAACTGTACAGTTTAAGAGAAAATGCTTTTCTTCATTTGAAGAAAATTTGTTGATAAAAGAAACCATGGCAACCGCAAAAATTGGGAAAATGCTGGGACTTTTCATGAACTTTGTCTTAACTGTTGACACAAATCATTCTAGAAGGCTAAAAACATTTTATGGTAAAGTTATTAATGTTGGTTTAAAAACAACTGCATTAGAAATAATGCGTGTTTGGGGGGCAGAATGCAGATTTTTTTAATTTACAAAGCGTGATTGCTAGCAAAGCATTAGTGCTTTTTATCTGCAGTCTTTTTTATGAGCTTTACAAAGTTTTTAGTCAGCTTTGCTTGTCACATTGCAAAACTTAGCTTAAGAGCATTAAAAAAACAACAAAAAACTTAAGTAGATAGGAGCTTATGGTCAAAAAGTGCAAAAAACAAAAAACAAAAAAAAAGCAATAGATAGAGAAATTGTTGACAATTTCTGTAGTCTTTCCTAGTTGTGATCAAATTTAGCCTATGGATGGCCGATTTTATACCAAAGATGAAGTGACACCTATTGCAGTCCAGAAGATAGAGGTTGTTTTTCCTTTTCCTTTTCCTTTTTTTAAAAAATTTATTTGACCTACATGGCCGGACCAGTTCCTACTTTGTGTTTGTTTAAACTATCTTCCACTGGTGTTTTACATACTGCAAAAAAAAAAAGGATTGTCTGTTTGGTTTTTTCCTCACGTACATTTGTTGATAGTAGAAGCTTGGATTTACTATCGTCGGCAGTCCCGGATGAAGAGTTACGGACACCAACTGATACGGCTAACTGGCTCTAACTTCTCAGAGTGTCTCTGGTTCCTCGCTAGCTCTCTGGAATAGTAAAGCCTAGACCGATGACCACCGTTAAGTCCAGACACTTGTTTTAACAGGTTGGGTTTTCTTTCTGTAAATTTAAACTGAAGACACTTCCTGAACCTGGTCTGAAAGGTCATTTGTTTAAAAAGCGTAGTGACGTTCTGTGCAATGGTGAAAGGTCTCCTGAAAAAGGTCACATTGTATGTGTAAAGACAGTCTTCCTTTAAATTCTGACGCCTCTGGTTTTGTCTCCTGACCTCGGTCTTTGTCATCATCGAGCATGAAGAATCACTTTCGTTCTCTAGTGAGGGAGGGAGGAAATCTTTTTGCCCCTTTCTACTGTATTTCCATATCCTGGTATTGCCAGAAAGAAGATAAAATAGACTTTTTTATTTTCATTTATCTCTCTGAGGCAAATAGGACCAATAAAGATTGAGTATTCGATTACTGGAATTTAGATAAGTTCTTAAAATGCTGGTTGACAATCAAGAAATTATGTGATTTATATCAATAAGAACCAAAAGAATTAGGTTTAATCAATCATTAAGCCAAAGGAGAGATATTTGCATTTAGAATGATGCAAAATTTTGTCTCAACTAAATTCAATCAACTTCCCTGGAAGATAATCTCTGCCTATTTGATTCATAAAATCCATATTCAATCTGTACAGCTTTACCTGAAATTAAGGGCAATGCAATTTTGTTAGTTGAATCATTCAGTAGAATCGCTTTCTGAATGAATCATTAGAATCAAATGGATGAAACTTTTCAAGAAGTCACAAAAACTTGCCTTCATCCGGAAGACATTCAGTGCACTACTAAAGAAAGGAGAATAGACTTTCAAAAACCAAAATCCAAAAGGTAAATAATGTCTTTTGATATGAATGAGTTGAAACGAGTAACGAGGGTTCGTTGTTGGAAATAGTCAATATTTCACTATTGCTGACCTATTAAATACTGAACAATGCACCAGTCTTGATATAGACCCTGGTTCTCTTAAGTGCAACCCCATAAGATGAAAACTCGAATCTGAAGAAGTGGTCCATATCTTTGCAGTTAAATCAGATACAAAAGTGGATCCAGAAAACAGGGAAATTCCAACTGGCTTCCTCCCCCTTCCTTACATTTCCTATGCTTTAGAGAGAGTCTTACATTTATACTTTTTTTTTCCTGTTCATCTTTCACCTCCTCATGTATTCTAAGGGTGGCACTTAACTTTGATCTTTGATCAGTGGGACCCCAAGGTAGAGGGAGTATAAAAAAACATAGATAGAAACCTTGTATTCTATTCTTTTCACTTTGGCGTCTTTGTATCAATAAGGACTGTCCTGGGCATGGTTCATTTGATTATGAAACCAACACATTTTCACTTGTGAAAAGATGATTCATGTGATACAAAGAAAGTCTCATGTACACAATCACTAATGAGGCTAAGAGGCAGCTACCATGTGGCTAATGAATGTGCCTAGGTAACTTCCTGTTTCTAATCAGAACTGCTGCTTAATTTATACATTCAGAAGTTTTTTTTTCAACTAGGGAATTTCAGTAATCTACATTTTGTTAAGCCACTTCAGGCAGGAGAAAACAATTCTACCTGTCGTTTATGTGTCCACATATTTTGTGTTTGGATTGTTCACATCATGCCATTCTGTATATATTATTTCAAACTAAAAGAACCCCCCCAAAATGGGAAAAAATGGCACACGTTCAAACCTCTCCTTTTATCTGTCATTTTATCGTATCAGAATCAAATCTGGGTAAAACAAAAAAACAAAAATCAAATCAAACATCAACAGGTAAGCAACACTGTAGTGTATGAAAAATAAAGCAAACCAATACATGTGTTCTATAAATCAGACAAGACTCCTAACTTTATCCTCATTATATATGATGGTGATTTTAAATTTCAGAGTATAAACATTTGTAAAACGTTGAAGTTAATTTTTCACCTGTTCTGGTTCACCAAACTTTCAAACATTGATTCAAATGTTTCCCTTTCTCCTTTTGACTTTAACTACTGCCAAGACATCGTCTAAACATCAGGAAACAAACGAAAGCCACAGTTCAAATGGGATAAATGGAATCTCAACCAAACTCTAGCTATCTGGTCAGTGGAAGCGTAGATTCCCTCTGACTAATGGTCAGGAGATGTCCAGAGAGGCAAAGCTCGCACGGTTAGTGAGAACTCCCTGATGTGTGCCATTTCTTCCAAAGGAAATGGGAGCTTCTAATAGATCTAAAAGTAACTGCTGGTCCGTGGTGGTGAGAGTGTGTCTTAGAACACCAGCATGCTGTAAAATTGTCATGTGGCATAATATTCTCAAAGCATCCTCTACCTGACTCCTGTTGCCAAGGGATAGTTTGTTGCTTTGGGAGATTTCAGCTTTTCAGAATATTGTTTCTACGCTTCGCTTGAATCAATTCTTTCTGTGATCTCAGCGGATCTGCCACAGGTCTTGACAGCATATAAAACTCACTTCTACGCTCTTCTAATGCAAAACTATAAGGTGGTGAAAACACTCACACTAGAAATTGAAAGCTGAGAGTCAAAAGGCTCGCTATCAGAGGACATTTATGTAATGTCACCACACCTAGAGAATACATCATTGAGCCCTTGTGAAACTGCTTGCAAGTCTCCTGCCACCGTGTTGATCCCCAAAAGTTTTCCTCTCCTCAAATTTATTGTAAATAATTGGGATGTCTACAATGGCCCAATTAATTTTTTCTTCGTTAATGAAAAATGGAACTCAGTTTACGCAGGGACTCGTGCAGTCTCTTTCTTGATTGAATGGGCTGGCTACACAGATTAATAGGAGTCTAAAAATGCATTTGACAACTCCATCTTCATTGGAGTGCATGAACCACCCCGATGAGCTTCTAAATACAGAGAAACCCTTCCGTGGTTTCAGTGTTGAATGTCTTTGACTATGATTTCATATTACAGTGACATCCACGGGTGTGCAACAACATCCGGCCCACGTGAGGAATCGCACACCCTCATCAAAGTGTACTTTAAGCGTGCCATGACCTTGAGCTGGATTCCTGTGTCGCGTGGGGTGTCTAGGAGTTGTGTTTGTTCATGGTATTGGGGCTGGCCGGCCTCAGCAGTTTGAGCTCACTGGGACTGACAGCTTCTCACTTCAATCTGAGGGATTGACAGCATTTAAACAAGCTCGTCGGTTCTGCCCATCCTACCCTTCCTGTCACAGAGCGATCATGGCATCTCACTAATGAATACATTTTGTTTTATGAGTGATATCCACTGTGGCATCAGAAGACCGTTTGGTCTAGCTCACGTTGAACATTTCTGTCCATGCATTCTTAAGTATTATATTGGTCCCTTAACCCAAGTGCGCCTCGTGTTGATTGTCCTTCGTGGGTAACATCGATTCCAGGAAAGTACACAAGCTAAATCCCTGAGCGAACCCAAGGACCTTGTATGATGGGGAGAGGAGCCTCTGCCCATTAGTGATTTCTTCTCTTTTCAATCTCGTAACCCAACATATAAAAGTTCACTCCGTCACAATGGAACAATAGCTTCTTAAATATTTATTTCTCTAAGAGGAACTATTTAAAAGCTATTTCCACTCAGAAAGATTTAAGGGGGCACTGAGGTAGAATCAACCATGGAACTTGAGGAAGAATCTCCAGGCCACTGAGTCACGCTTGAAATTTCTCCCATTTTATTCGCTGCAGTTAGTAACTGCCCAGCATTCTGAATCTTGCAGCAATGCAATCCCTCTCAATTTTGGAAGGGCTAATAGCTATGTTGTGGATTTGTTCTTTCCTCCCCACTTTTCTATTTTCTTTCAACCATGAGTATGAGGCCTTTGGCTCCACTTGCTTTTGTTAACATTTCACCCTGAGGGTGGAAAAAGAAACCAATTGGAGATAAAATTGAATTTAGTCTCTCTCTCTTTTTAAAATTAAGTAATGATTTATCATGACGGATTTTAAATCATTGGTAAAATTCAGGTCAGTGTTTTATGTACTATGGATTTACATAATTATCCATAATGTTCCTTTCCCACCCACAGCAGAGAATTGCGAGTTGGCTGTATTTTTGCAGAATTTCAAGGAAAAACTAGCAAACCCTTTGGCTTCCCTCAAAAGGAGGTGGCTGGGATTTCAATTATGCTGCTGAGTTTTAAATCAATAGGAAAGGGAGTCAACTCAAATTTTGTTACAAGAATATAATAGCAGCTCTTAGTTAAATACACATTCTTAGCCCTCTTAACTCTTTGACAAAAAGCTTTATTTTATTTTTATTATTTTTACTTTGTTTTACTGTATGCAGGCTAAGGCTAAATGGCTTTGACACTCCAGTGGATATTTTATGATCACTTTAAATAATGTCCTGAGGGTAACTTCAGAGTTATACTTTGTAATTTAAACCCTCTGATCTTAGATTATTACTAAAGATGCTCTGTCACCATGTCCCCAAAGTGTTATCTCCACATCTCTAAAAAGGAGCAATCCCATACTTTCCAGGAACTGTAAAAAATCATTTTAAGGAGGCACCTGACAAAGTCTTCATCATTCTGGAAAATAATGACCTCCATTTACTTAAAAAAGAAGAATTTAAATGAATCGTAATTTTAAAAGTAATATGTAGAAGTGAATTTGCTATGAAATATTTCATTTCTAAGAAAAAAATGGGACACGGTTTCTTTTCAAATTCTTATTTCAGGCCATATTCTACTGGAACTTTGGAACATCATTCAATTTGAATTTTATTTAAGAGCATTTTTGTACAACCCTCTCTGTCATGGAAAGTTCTGTAATTCTACGGTGTTTCCGGTTTTATCTTATTCTGTTCATATGTACCACAGTCAAATTAGCTGCCACTTCCCCCTGCTCCTTGGGCTTTCTGTAGATCAGTGGATGTTAGGTTTAAACTTCTGTTTTCTTTGATGAAGCTTTCAATAAAAAATGAAAATAAAACCAACCAAGTAGGGTTGTTACGTTTCTCTGTTCTTTCATCAGAAGAAGAGTTGGAGAGAGGGGAATGGGATGGAGGAGGAGGGATTGTCTGTATTTAAGCCGGTAAATTGCTTACTATATTTAAGCAGGTAAATTCCTACAAAATTCTTCAAAGAAAGAATCATTGCTGATGTTATGAATCTAATGGTGTCCTCCAAAAATATGTGTTTGGATCTTAACCTTTGTATTGAGAGGGGAAATCCCACTTGGAACAGGAGTTGTAGTGGTTCTGACGCCTTGTCAGTGTGAGGTGTACCGTCAGCCCAATGGTCTCTGAGTTATCTACGGAGCAGGCGGTGTAGTTATAGAACAGAGCGCAAAAAGGACAAGGCATCTAGGAACAGAAGCCACGGAGGCAAGACTCTTCCCACAGTGCCAACAGAGAGAAGACCAATTCCTAGAATCAGTCTTCTAAACGGTGAGAAATAAATTATTGTTCTTTAGAGCCAGCCACTTGTGGTCCAGCAGTCATGGAGACGAAGGCAGTTGGCTAAAGGAAAGCGAAAGAGGAAAGCACCTTTGGTTCAGGGAAGAGGACTTAAGAAAGCCACTCTGCTTTTTTTTAATTTTGTCACATCACTGATTGAAGCTGAACAACACAAGATGTTACCGCTTCACCCAAAACTGGTGTTTTTTAATCTGCCCTTTTTGACGGCTCAGTGGGTCACTGGCAGAAGGCCCAGTGAGTGCTTTGAAAAGTGGGGGGGGCACTCTGCATTTTATGGTGAAGTTAAGCCAGTTAGGTTATGAATTTATGTGCAATTCCTATCTCCCAGAATGCCTATCATTCACTCTCTACTTGACATAGCTGTGTGGAATCCAGAAAGTATAGACATAACTAACCATGAAACAATTTCATCTGGTACTAGTGGGTTAGATCCCTGTGCTTACTCCAGATCTACCAAAACAAGAAGAAGCATAAACTCCTCACGTTATGGAAATCTGTACTAAGCAGAAAGTGCATTTCTCTCATCTGGAATCATCCAAATTGGCTTGGAATTTATTAATTTCAGGGGTGGATGGTGATTCTTTAATATACCTTTTCTGCACCCTTCGAGCATATTCCATGTTACCATAGATGACAGGAAGGTAACTGGGATGCACAAAACTCAAACAGTATTCTAAACAGGAAGTAAGTAACTTTAATGTTTAAGACAATTAAACTCTGTAGAGCATATGGGATATGGAGAAAAATAAGAAAGGACAGAAAGGCCAAGAAAACAATATGCAATTATGCACTGAATATGAATGAGAAATATAAAGTATTAACTACTTGGCCACCCGTTACCATACCCATTCTGGTACACATAAGCAGTCCATCATACCAGTGGGTGAACTTCAAACATTTGTCCATCCCTCCTCATGACTATATGAACCAAGCATGTTTCATTTGGCTCCTCTATTCCTCTAACTCACATGCTCAAACCACAAATCTGTATCTTATAGCTCACCATCATGGCAGAGGAAGAGGAAGAGCTATGAACATTACAGAACATTCAGGTACATTCATACCTCATATTCAATTTAGTTAATCTACTTTATGTCTTTCCCTATATTTCCTAATGTATGTCAAGACTATAGACCCATTGCCACTGAGTTGATTCCAACTTATCGTGGTCCTTTGTGGTACCCTGTTATTCAAATACTAATCTAGACATAGTTGGGATTATATTCTCTAGATGTAGTTAACATCTACAATGAATTGACTCAGCATAAAGTTTATTCTTGATAATCTGCTTGAGCTTCATTTAGTCAGTTGTAAACTTTTATTTCTTCTTTCCTCCTTTATTCCTATCTTCCTTACTTCTTCACTTCTTTATCTTCCTTTTTTCCCACACTCCTTCTTCCCTATCTTCCTTCTAATCTTCCCTCTTTCCTTCCTTCCGGTGCCGTCAAGGTGGTTCTGGTGCATAGTAACCCCAGCAGGAAACACTGTCCATTCTGTACCATCCTGCCAGTTTTTGTGATATTTGAGCCCATCGTTGCAATCACTGTCAGGCCATCTTGTCAAGTGTCTTCCTATTTTTCACTGACCCTATACTTGCCCAAGCATGAGGTCCTTCTCCTGGGACCAGACTCTCCTGCCAACATTTCCAAAGATGGGAGATGAACAACCTTGCTTCCGAGGAGCACTCTGGCTGTACTTCTTCCAGCGCAGATTTGTGGTTATTGTTCTCGCAGTCCCTGGTGCTTTCAGTGTTCTGCACCAACACTAAAATGCAAATGCTCTTCTTCGGTCTTCCTTATCAACTGTATAACTTTCAAAAGCATATAAATTGACTGAAAATACCATTGTTTTTGTCAGTTGCCCCTTTGTCCTCAAACGGACATCCTTGGCCTCTCGTGCAGCAGATTTGCCCAATGAAAAATGTCCATGCACGGAACATGAAGTTCAAATTCAGTAAACAAACAAAATACGTCTTGTGTATCTATAGTAAGAAACCACGATTTTACCACTGCCTGTTCAGTACTTTTCCCAATATTTTCTACTCTCATCTAGGAATACGATGATAAGGTTGACGTGAGAGGTAGTGAGAAAGCTATTTTGAAGAAAACAATGTATTGCTCACAATGCATCTATGGTTCCCATATAACAAAGGGAGAAAAGCTAGGTGATCCTAAAGTTGGGTCCTTTCTTAACCATGAAAACATAGTGAAGTCATTTAACTTCTCAAAGCCCAGTTTTCTCCTGTTTAAAATACTTTCAGCATTTTCCTTATGTGATTATGAACAAGATCAGTGGTAATAAACGGACAGCTGCTACGAGTGTTACAAAAAGCCCAGGTGGAGGTGTGGGTTAGGTGTCGGGTTGCTAAGAGGTTAGCAGTTCAGACCACCAACTGCTTCCCAAAAGAATGATGAGGCTGGATGTTCCTGTAAAGGTTTACAGCAACAGAAACCCTATATAACAGTGGTTCTCACCCTGTGGGTCGCGACCCCTGGGGGGTTGAACGACCCTTTTACATACCATAACGCCCTATTCATACCAGTAGCAAAATTATAGTTGTGAAGTAGCAACAAAAATAATTTTATGTTTGGGGGTCATCACAACATGAGGCACTGTATGAAAGAGTTGCAGCATTAGGAAGGTTGAGAACCACGGCTATATAGGGTGACTGTGAGTCAATTTGATGGCAATGGGTATTAGAGTTACAGCCAACTCAGGATTACAAATTGACATAGTGGTTAGCAGTCCATTGTTTATTGGACAGTGTCACCAGGGCTCCTTTGAACATGAAATCATCACCGTAAAAAGAAAAAAGTGTCTTTATTTATCTATCTATCTAACTATCTATCTATCTATCTGTCTATCATCTATCTGTGTATGCATGTGTTTTCCCTCTCGTTTAAAACACAGTGACCTTCTTAGGTCAAGAAACAGAAGATTTGTCCATGTCCAAGCAAGCCTTCTTTCCGTGTTTCTTTCAGTCACTATGTAATCCCCACCAATCCACCTGTGAATAACACATTCTCTAATTCTGACAACTGAGAATCATTGTTCCTGATTCTGAATCAGAAATGTAATTTCTGAAAAAGCTAATCAGAAATGCTGATTAGCTTGGCTTTTAGGAGATTGTGGGTGTGGACATAAGCACAATTATTTTGCTCATGTTTGAAACTATAAGATACCTATCTGTATTAGTATGAGTAGATAAGAGAAACAAATTCGTAGACACTCACATGTGTATAGGAAAGAGCTTTATATACAAGAGCAATTGAATATTGAGAAAACATCCCAGCCCAGTCCAGATCAAGTCCATAAGTCTGATATTACCCCATAGGTCCAATACCAATCTATAAAGTCCTCTTCAGACTCACAAAGCACATTCAGTGATGCCAAATGCAGGAAGATCACAGGCCAGTGGGTGGGAAATCTTCTGGATCCAGTGGCAGTGTAAGCATCTCAGTGCTGGCAGGGGTCTCTTTGTGATTCCTCCAGCTCAGGTCACTAGCATAGTTCCATGTGTCTTGTCAGCTACAATGTCTCCCAGAGAGTGAGCTGACAGTCTCACAGGGAGTGAGCCTAGAGTGAGAGTGTCTCCCTCTTCCAAGAAGGAAATACAGGAGTTCCCAGAATCCTCAGGAGAAGGCCATGCCCACACAGAGTCCTCATTGGCTATATCCTGATTGACAGGCTATACTCCACCCCTACCCTCTTAATCCTCAAATTAACACCAGATTATGTAAATACAACACTATCATTCTGAAAACTGCACATCTCTGTGCTAGCCAAATTTTAAAGATTTTTGATTTCACAAGGAGCCCAGATAGCAAACTGTGTCATACATTGGGCTACTAACTGAAGGGTCAGCAGTTTTAACCCACCAGTTGTGCAAAAGTACAGAGATGAGACTCTCTACTGCCATAAGGACCGAGTCTCAGAAAGTCTATGGAACATTATTCTCTGCCAGAATGCTCCTTAGAAGCAAGGGTGGTGAGACTTTGTTTCACATATTTTGGACCTGTTCTCAGGAGAGATTAGTCCTGGAAGAAGGATATCCTGCTTGGCAAAGTAGATGGCAGTGAAACAGAGGAAGACACTGGAGAAGATGGTTTGACACGGTGGCTGTAATAATGGGCTCAAATATAAGAACAATTGTGAGGATGGTCCAGGAGTGGACGGGTCGTTAGGAGTTGGAACTGAATCGAGGGGAATGTAACAGCAACCATGGCACCCCAGAGGGTCACTATGATTCCGAAGCCACTGGATAACTCTTGGTTTGGGTTCGTTTTTGTTTTTTAGTTTCAGAAATGGCATGAATTTACTTTGCAGTCCCTCTCAATGTTTAACATCTTTTACAACTAGAAAACACACTACCAGCCCTAAAATACATGCCCTTGAAAGAGTGGTAGCCAAACTCGTAAAAGGCAATCGCTGAGTCTCAAGGAAAGGCTGATTGTAAAACATTATTTAAGCATTAGCCACATGTCACTTATTGTCTGCTTCTTCATACAGTGAGTGAC